CACCCAATTACCCGTGCCTACTGCACTCTGTCTTCGGCAGAGGTGCCGCTAGAGACTGACTACTTGCTGTTCCCAAGGCCGCGGAGCTGCTGCTTTACCACACCCAGCTGCCATGTGGTCAAAAGCGCCGCACAGGAGACACGTCTTGCGTTGTCCCGCGTAGGTCACATACATCTGTGTCCTAAAATCCTCCAGGACAACATACGAGGGAATAGGTCTTAATGTCATCTTGATGGTGTAAGATCAAGCAGGCAACCCTGCATATATTTCATCCGTCCATCGTCCTAAAGTTATAGCATGTACCTCACCATATCTTTGAAAAATCTGATATCCACATCTGCCTCAAAAGGAACGTTGCGGATCCTCACCCAGGTGTAGTATTTTGAGGCATCCCGCAGGCGTACCTCCAGTCCAGATGATACGGTGATGCTCTTCTCCTGGTACTGAGTCACCGTACTTTCATACGCCTCCACTGTGCAGAACTTTACGAAGATTCTTGAAGAACCATTAAGCGCTATTCCATGTAGTTCTTCATTGTCAATGCCAAATGTGTCCCGTATAATCGTTGGTAATAAAACAGAGGCATTCGTCGGATAAATTGTCCCTTTAACAAGGTCAACACACGGTGTTGCTCCTCCTGCGGTAGCTGGCAGCCATCTTGGTGAAAACGAAGTTGCACAACAGAGAAAGCAGGAGCTTTTTGCGCAGTGCGTCCACACAGCCCGAGAGCGATTAAGTAAGTTTATTCAGGTATACACAAATACAGTTACATAGAATTATCATACATAGCAGCATATGTGTAGAGAACCTGGGATAACCCAAAAAAGTCAGTGACTTATTTCCATTGGATGAGGACAATTATTACTTTGGATTTACCCCAGTTTAGTGGGGCATCCAAAATTTGTTACCGTACATAGCTCATTTTTCATCAACTACTACTCTTCTTCGTATTACCCCATCTCATACATCTCAAACCATTTATCTGCAAAACCACTCATACCTTCAGTCGTTACTAACCGCTGTCCCACCGTGTACCCACCCACGTCCTGATGTACTTCTAACTAACATTCATTATATTTTGCCGGCTCTTTAATCGCCACAGAATGCAAACTGATGGTTTATCAACATCAAACATCCTCCAACCCACCCCTTAATCTTTCACGATCAAACCTTGCATTCTGGATCGCCAGCAATTGGGTCTTCATACCCTCAATCTCCGATACTGGATAAACTCCATTACTATCTACATAACATTTAACTGTCCCTCCAAATACCTCTGTAATCCATATTTCCATTGTCCAACCTCCCTTCCTTTCCTCATATAAAAACTACGGATTTCTGGTTTAGCACATTGCTCCCACCACAGTAATATATCGCCTCCCAGCTTGCCTTTATTCCATTCATTTTTCCACCATTCCACAAAACTAAGTCCACCTTCCATATTCTCTAACAAGCTCACATTTAGCTTCCAATAACTCATAAAACGTTTCGGCAACTCGCCCCATCCCACGTCCACAACCACCCCTCTATGATCCGAGAATACTACATTTACAGTTTCGATATTATTAACTTGTATCCCAGGAGAGAAATGCGACCCATGCGTGCTGCATATCCACTCCTCACACAAGTATGCTCCACCACCCACCCCTCCCCACTCACTACATCTACTAATCAGACTCCCCCCTAATACACCCCGTAGGACCCCCAACACACCCGGCTCCTCTCGGCTCCACATCCTTCCTAAGGATCGCACAATTCCAATCCCCCCCCAAATAATGTATATATAGGAAGCCCTCGCATATGATAAGAACATCCCTCACAAAATATTCCTTTATGCGCCTATTGCTGTCTGCAGGCATATACACACTAAACTCACAGGAACACCACCCCATGTACCATCCACCCTTACTAGTCTCCCATCTTCCCCTTCTTCCCAGTGTAACATTTGAAATAGACTGGTCTCTGCTATTAAAACTGCAGCACCTCCCTTGAGTTTACCTGTATACCCAGCATAAACTTTGTACCCGTCAACTAATAAATCCCGACCTAACTTAAAATTATGTTCTTTTAAAAGGATAACCTGTACCCCATACCGCCTTAAAAAGGCACTGAACATCCTCCTCTTCACTTCGGCCCTGAGACCATTTATATTCAATGTTAAACACTTAAAAATGCTAATGGGGGCTTACAAATCTATCTCTTACCATGTGTTTCTTTACGTTTTTAATCAGTATACTTTTCACTATGCCTGTTCCTAGTCACGTCTTTCTCCTTCCCCTTACCCCCTCCCCCCCTGACTTTCCTAGCCACATCCACTTTTTTACCCGAACGTTGTGCAGGCGTAAGAATATCACTGTCCGAGGTAACTGCCTCCCTCTTACGTGAAGCCGCAACAGTGATCATTTCTTTCGGACGGCCTTCATTGTGTATTTCAACTACAGTTTCACAAAGCCCTTGTGTTTGCCCATCCCTCCTACTCACATTGCCTCCCTCATGTACCCCTCCCCGATTCGTATGTTGCTCATGCAAGCCTATATTCAGCATTCCAGGTACATGCTGATCCAAAAATTCCTGTATAACATTATGGCAGCCGACACTTCACTACCCAAATCCACTTGTTCCACCTCTTACTCCATACATATTTTCTCAACGTCCTGCGTTACCTCCGGTAACGTAGCACACTGGATTGTCATCCACAATCTCACTCCACGTCCTACGTGACTGAATATGTTCTCCTGTAGACTGGGACATCTCTTTCCTTTTCCCCCTCCTGTCCCTGCTCCCTGTGTCCCGGTCGACGAACGTCGTGGACCCTGTGCAGCCACATGTTCAAATGCACCACACAACAGGTTATCCTTTGCCCGGCATACGTTTACCTGGAGATTTACCTGGAGAGAGTTCCGGGGGTCAACGCCTCCGCGGCCCGGTCTGTGACCAGGCCTCCTGGTGGATCAGAGCCTGATCAACCAGGCTGTTGCTGCTGGCTGCACGCAAACCAACGTACGAGACATACCAGAGTTTTAAAATCACTCAAAGCCACAAATGAAGGTATGGATCGCCGCAAGGACATTTGGAGAGTGAAAGATCCCTCAGAGTCCCGCATACATACCATCTGACCATCGTCCAATCGTTGCTTGATTTATTACTCCATACTCCTCAAACGACGCTCTGATGTCTCCATCCGCCTCAAAGGGGACATTCCGTATTTTTACCCAAGTATAGTACTTAGACACGTCCCTCATTCTCACGTCCAAACCAGGGTTAACAGTCATACACACATCCTGGTACTGATCCACCATCTTGTCATACGTCACAGTCAAATTTCACGAATGCTCTCGTTGAGCCGTTTAAGGCAATGCCGTACAGATCTTCAGTGTTGATTCCATATGCATCTCGTAAGATAGCATTTGTGTTATACACCGCACCTTTCAGCACTTCTATGCACACAGTGTTGACACGTCTCCTGACAGCCTGCGCCATTTTGAGAAAATCTCGCAATGCTACCAACAGACAGAAGCACAACAGCCAACGTCCGCTCTCCACCAAGGGTGTGTGACGAATGCAAGAGCTAAGGTGCAGCAAAACCTCCCGGCCCGAAATTGAAGAGGTCAATGAGCAGCACAAACTAGTCAGGTCCAACTCTCACGTTTTAGCCTGAATAACTGTACTCGGGAGTTTGTTCCACTTATCCACAACTCTTACTAAACCAGCCCTTTCCTATATCGTTCCTGCATCTGAATTTTTCCAACTTTAAACCATTGCTGCGAGCCCTGTCTTGAATGGAAATTTTCAACATGCTATTTACATCCCCTTTATTCCCGTTTTCCATTTATACACCTCGATCATAATCCCCCTAATTCTACGCCTTCCGAGAGAGTGCAGATTCAGGGCCCTCAGTCTATCCTCATAGGGAAGATTTCTGATACATGGGATCAACTTTGTCATCCTCCTTTGTACGTTTTCCAGGGCATATATATCCATTCTGTAATATGGTGACCAGAACTGAGCAGCATAGTTTAAATGAGGCCTAACCAAGGATCCCAGCTCTCAATGTAGTCTGGCAAAAGTTTAGCAACAGGCAACTTGACAGACTTGACATATGCCACTTAGACTTTTTTTACCTACCTAGACAAGGCATTCACAACCTCTTCCAATCTCCTCCTAGCCCTGTACCTCCTACTCAGTATACCCTGCCTACTAGCCTTTCCCTTCCTCCTCCTCTTGGCAAGAATGAACCTCAAACGACTAGTACTGCCCTACCCCTGCCACAACCCCTGCCACTACCCCTGCCATGGTCTTGTCATAGCCAAGCGGTGCGATGCGCTAGCCTTCGCTACCTCGAACGTTATAAACTGCTGGTATAGTCATGGGGAAGCACTTAACCCGCAGGATTGCACAACGCCTGTGGGAGTGGGGAGGAAGGTATTCAGGCTAAACTCAGGGAACTGGAGCACAGATCCAATTCCCTAGATCAGGAGCCCCTCACCAGCGTCAAGGAACCCCTCTTGAGGGGCCGAGATACTGACAACCACACAACGATGTGCTGTTGGATCAGCCCCAGTTCCACACCAGACCCCTCAAGGAAGGTTCCTTGATGCTGGTGAGGGGCTCCTGATCCAGGGAATTGGATCTTCTCCAATTCCCTAAATTAGACCTGAATACCTTCCACATTCCCCCTCAGGCGCTGTATAATCCTACGGGTTTAGCGTTTCCCCCTTGATTATAATAATTCTACACCTTAGATCTTCAGCATTCTTCTTCCACTAAGTAATAGAAACAAAATTAACTGTAGTTTCTAGTTACAATAGCGCAATCGTCTTGAAAACCTATAGACTACAGGCTACATATAGCCTATATTTCACTAGTCAAGGATATTACAGTATAAAAATAATTAACTCGTTATATACACTTTTCTGTATGTATACCTTTTTTTAAATGACTAAAAAATAAGGATATTAATTGCCAATATCTAAAATTTATATTTACCCTTAATTCCATACCTTAGTTCGTTCTCCCGTGTTGTTGATGTCCGAGACATGACTTAGTTAACCAGAAAGATGGACAATATTAACCTAAGTAACGCGCACACACCTCTTAACACTGTCAGGTAGCTACTGCCGCTTGTTGTGTTCGACTGGAGCAGTACTGAAGCAGTCTTGGAACTGTGATGAACCTGATGAATCTCAGTGATTCTTATGTGTGACTGAAGCAGTACTGAAGCAGTCTTGGAACTGTGATGAACCAGATGAATCTCAGTGATTCTTATGTGTGACTGAAGCAGTACTGAAGCAGTCTTGGAACTGTGATGAACCTGGTGAATCTCAGTGATTCTTATGTGTGACTGAAGCAGTACTGAAGCAGTCTTGGAACTGTGATGAACCAGATGAATCTCAGTGATTCTTATGTGTGACTGAAGCAGTACTGAAGCAGTCTTGGAACTGTGATGAACCTGATGAATCTCAGTGATTCTTATGTGTGACTGAAGCAGTACTGAAGCAGTCTTGGAACTGTGATGAACCAGATGAACCACAGTGATTATGTGTGACTGAAGCAGTACTGAAGCAGTCTTGGAACTGTGATGAACCAGATGAATCTCAGTGATTCTTAGTGTGACTGAAGCAGTACTGAAGCAGTCTTGGAACTGTGATGAACCAGATGAACCACAGTGATTATGTGTGACTGAAGCAGTACTGAAGCAGTCTTGGAACTGTGATGAACCTGATGAATCTCAGTGATTCTTATGTGTGACTGAAGCAGTACTGAAGCAGTCTTGGAACTGTGATGAACCAGATGAATCTCAGTGATTCTTATGTGTGACTGAAGCAGTACTGAAGCAGTCTTGGAACTGTGATGAACCAGATGAATCTCAGTGATTATGTGTGACTGAAGCAGTACTGAAGCAGTCTTGGAACTGTGATGAACCAGATGAATCTCAGTGATTCTTATGTGTGACTGAAGCAATACTGAAGCAGTCTTGGAACTGTGATGAACCTGGTGAATCTCAGTGATTCTTATGTGTGACTGAAGCAGTACTGAAGCAGTCTTGGAACTGTGATGAACCAGATGAATCTCAGTGATTCTTATGTGTGACTGAAGCAGTACTGAAGCAGTCTTGGAACTGTGATGAACCTGATGAATCTCAGTGATTCTTATGTGTGACTGAAGCAGTACTGAAGCAGTCTTGGAACTGTGATGAACCAGATGAACCACAGTGATTATGTGTGACTGAAGCAGTACTGAAGCAGTCTTGGAACTGTGATGAACCAGATGAATCTCAGTGATTCTTATGTGTGACTGAAGCAGTACTGAAGCAGTCTTGGAACTGTGATGAACCAGATGAACCACAGTGATTATGTGTGACTGAAGCAGTACTGAAGCAGTCTTGGAACTGTGATGAACCTGATGAATCTCAGTGATTCTTATGTGTGACTGAAGCAGTACTGAAGCAGTCTTGGAACTGTGATGAACCAGATGAATCTCAGTGATTCTTATGTGTGACTGAAGCAGTACTGAAGCAGTCTTGGAACTGTGATGAACCAGATGAATCTCAGTGATTATGTGTGACTGAAGCAGTACTGAAGCAGTCTTGGAACTGTGATGAACCAGATGAATCTCAGTGATTCTTATGTGTGACTGAAGCAATACTGAAGCAGTCTTGGAACTGTGATGAACCAGATGAACCACAGTGAATCATCCCCGAAATTTTCTTTCATTGCAAATTAATATAATTAGTTATATTATTTTTTTACCGCGTGACTTTGCAAATTGCATCACAGAATTCAATGGCTATTGTTATCAAAGTACTATTATTATTATTGTTAACTTTATCTATAATATATACAAAATGTACCATAGAATGGTACCTATGTAAGACATCAACAACGGTACTGCTACAGTTCACTGAGTAAATCAACATTATTATTACAATCAAGGGGGAAGCGCTAAACCCGGAGGATTATACAGCGCCTGGGGGGGTATGTGGAAGGCATTCAGGCTTAATTTGGGGAACTGGAGCATAGATCCAATTCCCTAAATCAAGAGCCCCTCACCAACATCAAGGAACCTTCCTTGAGGGGCCAGTAAATCAACAACACAGTATTGCGTTAAGACAAACGTAACACAACCTACGACTACCTCTAAATACACCGTGCTATATAATGACAGTGTTATATAATGACAGTGTTATATAAACACAGTACTATATAACAACAGTGTTATATAATCACCGTGCTATATAATGACAGTGTTATATAATGACAGTGTTATATAAACACAGTGCTATATAATGACAGTGTTATATAATCACAGTGCTATATAATGACAGTGTTATATAATCACAGTGCTATATAATGACAGTGTTATATAAACACAGTGTTATATAATGACAGTGTTATATAAACACAGTGCTATATAAACACAGTGCTATATAATGACAGTGTTATATAAACACAGTGTTATATAAACACAGTGCTATATAACCACAGTGTTATATAAACACAGTGCTATATAACCACAGTGTTATATAAACACAGTGCTATATAACCACAGTGTTATATAAACACAGTGCTATATAACCACAGTGTTATATAAACACAGTGCTATATAACCACAGTGTTATATAAACACAGTGCTATATAACCACAGTGTTATATAATCTTTTTTTTATATATATTTTATTTAAAACATTACAATTCAAGGTGGAAATTATATTAAAAGGTACACAAAATAAGTTTATTTATTTTTATTTATTTATTTAGAAATTTTAGCATACATACAGAGGTACAAAAAAATACAGGTAAGAGCAGCATGCCAAAGCTCCCGCTTCACACACGGAGGGCCCGGGTTCGATTCCCGGCGGGTGGAAACATTTCGACACGTTTCCTTACACCTGTTGTCCTGTTCACCTAGCAGCAAATAGGTACCTGGGTGTTAGTGGACTGGTGTGGGTCGCATCCTGGGGGACAAGATTAAGGACCACAATGGAAATAAGTTAGACAGTCCTCGATGACGCACTGACTTTCTTGGGTTATCCTGGGTGGCTAACCCTCCGGGGTTAAAAATCCTAACAAAATCTCTCTCTCTCTTACCATGCCTAACCCTTCTAGGGTAGGGTAGGTGCCTGAGCCCGAGCTTGCAGCTCACAAGACTGTCATTCCCATTTGCCCCCCTTGGGGCGGGGATGGCAGACCAGAGAGGCCTAGCTTGTGGCTAGGCCTGGGGACAGTTGGTCCCAAAGATGAGGTACTTGTGCCTCCTCCCATGGGAGACTTAGGTCTCAGACACTCCCTAAAGAGGGAGCCAAGGCCGGGCCACCACTTGGAAAAGGCCCGGGCCGGGAGAATACCGGCGAATCTTTAATAATAATAATAATAATAGCATTAAATCACAAATTCCCAATTCATCCTTACAAAAATGATTACAACAGACAAAAGTGTTCTGACGCCCTAATATCACACACCATATACACCCAGTTATACCAGAGTTATATATCTGTGAAGGCTGAAACTTCTGACACAGTTTCACCCCCCCCCCTCCCGCAAAATATAACCATCACCAACCTGATTGCATCTTATCTTAACATTAAAGGAATTACACTATCATGAGTGATGCAGTAGCATCTTAGACACAAAAATATTAATAAATTTTAAAGGGGAAATTTCATTATTAAACAAGACCCTCAAGTGAAAGGAACCCCCAAAAGTTTAATTTTTCTAAAAGGTTGCAACAATGAATGTAAACTCTCAAGGCAACTTATTTTAAATTATCTTAGATGAAAACCCCATTTATGCAACACAGTATAAAAATTAAACTTTATTTTATAAAAACACACAGAAAAAAGGATATAGTATAAACCCCACCATGTACGGCACACGCAAAAAAATTCCACAAATTCACTAACCACATAAACAAAAATTTTGGGGGACAATGCACCTAAACAAACCCTCAATGTTAAGACGCTTTACATAGATAAATAATAATAATATTACTTAGACGCTAGTACAAGAAAAAAACAAATAATATGACTTAATTGTATGAAATAGAAAAACAACTTTATAAATACTTAAACTGCTATGTACTAGAAACAAATTAAAATATGACAAGACTGCTATGTACAAAGATAACAACATTTAATATGACTTAAGACTGTTTGTACGTAGATAAAAACTTAAATATACTTAAGATAGTAAAAGAAAAACAACTAATAATATCTTAAGACTGCTTTTTTACAAATAACAACCAAATAAATTGACTTAAACTGCTATGTACATAGAAAACACATAAAAAATATTGACTTAAGACTGCTATTACATAGAAAAAAACATAAAAATATGACTTAAGAGCTATTTTCTAGATAACAACATAATAAATGATTTAAAGACTGCTTTTTACTAGATAACAACATAAAAATATGACTTAAGAGCTTTAAGGGGAAAACAAATAAAATACTTAAACTGCTATGTACGTAATACAAATAAAAAAATTATTTAAGACTGCTATTTAATAGATAACAACAAATAATATGACTTAAAACGCATGTAACATAGATAAAACAAAAAATGACTTAAGATGCAAATTACTGTAACAACAAATAATACTTTAAAGACTGCATGTACGTAAAAACCAACTTTAAAAAAATATTTAAAGACGCTATGTACATATAACAACTAAAAATTACTTAAAAAAACTGCTATGTACGTATAAAAACATAAAAAGATTAAACTGCTATTTCATAATAACACAAATAATAAACTTAAGCGTAGACGTAGAAACAACATTATAATATGATTTAAAAGACTCTATGAACTAGAAACAACTAAAAAATGATTAAGACTGCTATGTACATAATAAAAACTTTATAATATGACTTAAACTGCTATTACATAGAAAACATAAAAAAATTGATTTAAAGACGTTTTGTACATAGTAAAAAACTAATATATGACTTAACTGCTTGACGTAGATAACAACAAATAAATGATTTTAAGATGTTTGTACGTAGATAACAACAAAATATGACTTAAGACTATTTAAAATAGATAACAACAAAAAAATTTGACTTAAGACTAGTACATGATAACAAAATAAAAATTGACTAAAACTGCTATGTAGTAATAACAACAAAAAATTTTAAACTTAAACTATTTTTCATA